TACATTTTATTTTATGTAATATTTTCCCTGTGCTCCTGCTTTTATTGGAAGTGAACACTTGCAACTGGAAATAGAAATTTTTTTTTTGATGAACCCTATCCTATTCAGCAAGTTTCTTGTATTCTGTTGCAAGGTCATTTCAGAATCCATCTTGGATCAGGGTCACAGTTCAATGGCATTTTTGTTTTGAAGTACTGCATTGGAACTAAAATATGCTTTTGTTTTCTTGTCTGTCTTAACTTCACAAAATCATGTGGACTTTTATTATTGCGAATCTTAGATGAAGGATACCAAAGGTTAACATGCCAAACTATTCAAAAAGTAATGGTTAGACGTTGCCACTCATTTGATTTCAAATTCCTGAGCACAATGGGAGCAAGAGGAGACTGGGAATGGGTATAAATTTCTGATTTATATGTAGACGGTATTTATATGAAGTCAGAAGCATATTGCATTTGTTCCCTTAGAGGAAAAAGGAAAATTCAATGGGGCAGTAATCCTGATGTAGTAATGTAGTCTGGAGACGGGAATAGATGTGTTGAGAAAACTATTAAGTTTTCAGGCTGCTCTTGACAAGAATGTGAAAGACAGGCTGACGTCAATTTTTTCAGGCTTGAATAAAATTGATTTGTAAAGGCTTGTATGTTTGTGGTGACCAGACTTTCTCTCTCATTTTTGTTTGGCGGGGTGGGTGCAAGGGTGAGGTATTGATAATGATGAAAAGTAAGGACTCCATTTGAAGTCTAAGAAGATGGTGAGACCACTGATAGGAGGGCGATAGTCTAAGTGCTAAGCCATTAAGGATTGTACCTGCTAGTTGGATTTTGAGCCGTGTTAAAACTGCCTTTGAAGAACTGGATGTTGTTGCATCATTCTGACTGATGTCGAGAAAATCAAGATACAGTGATTTAGCCATTGCATTTTGAAGATCATGGTGTTTGCACCTATAGCACTGGTTCTATTGCCTTCCATTAAATGGATCCTACTGAATGGCACGGTGAGTTGGATGTTGACTTCCACCTCTATTACATGGATTTAATCATCTAGACTGAGTTACTTATGAAAGTCAATTTATTATCAGTGGCGGTATAAGAATATAAACAGTGTTAAAGCTGAGGCATATTGTTGGGAGGATAGAAACTTTATTCTGCATTGACCTGTATTTTACCTGACCTTGAGTGCTTAATGCTGTAACTCGTGTCTGAATTGGGAAGAGTCCATCCCTTAAAACTGACATCATGGGCTGAACAGAAGTTATATTGTGCCACAGTTAAAGTTAATTATTTATTGGTGGTAAATGCTGATATTTGTTTATTCTTTTCTTGAACTACTAGGGAGAGTATGTTGTGGGAAAGTATAAGTGTCTGCTTTGTGAAAAAGAATTCAGCTCTGAGAGTGGAGTAAAATATCATATTAATAACGTACACTTTGAGGTAAGAACTTTATTCTTGGTATTCTACATCGTATCAACCAGAATTTTCTTTGATATCAAACTTGTAACTTCCAAAGAATGCAGATCTATCCCTTTTAAAAATAGAATTGTTTGTTCAAATTTTAAAGTGGAGGCCGGTATTCAAACCCTCTCATGAATTCATGCACTTCCACACTTTAGATGTCGATATTATGCTGAAACAGATTTGTATCGTTGTAGACAGCACCAAGGGCTTTGACACTTCTTTGTTATAGAATAGGAATTAAGAGATGAGCGGTCACCTGTTTTATGGCTAACTCAGATCTTGTCATTAGCTATCTCATAATCTTGTCAGGATACTGACTTGAAAAGGTTGCTGAGTTTGACACTGTGATGTGGGTGAAATAGCATCAAATTTTCATGCTGATCTATCTGTGAATTTAAGTTTATGCCTTGGCTAATGCCCATTTATATCCCTGGGTTCAGCATTTCCTTTGCATCCATCTCTGACTTTGTAAGTTACATTTGTTAAACAAAGAATGATTTTGAATATCAACAGAAATGATTAAAAAAAATTATTTGTAATTGACTAACTTTTTATAACTGGATCCTGTTCATGGAGCTGTCATTCTGAAGAATATTGTTAGTTTTTGATATCTTAAACACACAACATGATGCATCTAATACAGAATTGATGGTAATAAAATAATGCTTGTTAATGTAACTGTAATTCCCTTTTTTACCACTTTATTTCTTATGATTAATATGGTGTTCACTTTTATGGACAGGACTGGTTTCTTCCCACTTCTAAAGCAGCTAAAGAATTCAAGCCCTTGGTGAAATTTAGCAAAAAACAGCCTAAAATGTCAACCAAGAAAAAATCATCAAAAGTTGGCAAGAAACAGAAAACACAAATTGTTTTAGTGAAAGAGGTGTCCTTCCTTAAAAAGGTCTGTGAGAGTTCTAAAGAACATGATCAATATAGGTTTACAGATAGTGAGGAAGAACAGGATGAACAAGAAAAGGTTGGAAACTGGCGCCTCAAAAGACCAAGTGCAAAAGCTGAATTAAAGACTGATCAAGCCAAGAAATAAGCAACTCTGGAGGATTGAAGAATAATGAATGGATTATTTAGCTTGACACAAAACTACAAGCATTTTGGGCATTGATTAAAACACAGTAACAGCTCTGCAGATAAGTGTAATTTGCATTCTGTCTACTAGTTGTGTTTTTTTTTGTAATTTTAAGTTGTGCACTCCTCTCCATTTGTTCTTGGGAATAAGGAATTGGACCAGATTAACATTTTGGCATACAAGGTTGGGGGAAAAAGGGGAAAAAAAAAATCAGGTTGTGTGTGTAGATTTAATGAAGACTGTTTTGTGTGTAATGTAAACCTTCCGCTTCACACTCCCTTAATAGTTATAGAAATATTGTGCTGTTTTTAAGAGGAGAAAATTACCAATATCATTTCACATTTCATAAGTAAGAATCTGGAGTCTGTCAGTATAATTCACTGGGTAAATATGCTCATTTTTGTGCACCACTGGCTTGGAAGAGGCTAGAAACCGTTGGTGCTTTGTACCGACAGTGATCCATTTACTTCATATATTTTCCAGTCTGTCTTTTGTGCAAAGAAAGAATTCAGGCTAGAAATCTGTTTAACAGAATACCACCTATTTAGAGGGGTGCAAGGAAGACTGTGTGGTTGTAAAGATGAACATCTTTATTTATTTAGGTTTTTTGTGTAACATTTGAAACATTAGAAATATTGTCTAGCAGTGGCTAGTTACTATGTTGTGCTGATTTATAATGCCTTCAATCTTCAGGACCATAAGAATACTTGTTGTAGAATCAAGCTCATCTTTTGACATTTTCATAAGATTAATTCTAGACTGTAGGTAGTTTTGGTGGTTCATTGGTAGATTTCCAAATAAAAATGCTCCATTTTGTTTTGAAAGCTGTCTACATGAACTATGTTAAATGCATCAACTTAATCTGCTTTGTCCATTTGTTACAGAAAATAATATGTAATTCTCAATGGTATAATATTCAATTTATTCCATTTAATAGGAATACCTCAAACCTCTTGAATAATGCACATTTCTACTTTTGATGGATAAGTAAACTTCAGATGGAAAAAGGACGTTTCTTTATTAGTGTGCTGAATGATAGCAGTTGGAGCTGCATCAGCATGTCGTAAGGAAGCAGCTGTGACATCCCATTAATTGGATGTCATGAACAATGTATTCTTTGATATGTGATGGCTTTAATTATTTACAACATAAAATTTATCAGATAATATGGTAAACACAGTCATTTTTTAATAATTTGTTCAGGTTCTCTGTCCTGTTTGTCTAAGTATTAAAGAAGACAAGCAAATTAAATCTGTTTTTAGCAATTAACCTTGGTGTATAAACTTAATCTCTCAATGCCAATTTGATAGAGACCAGCTAAAAAGCTAATCATATTCAGGGTGTAGTACTGTTATTACTGCAAAGTATTTTTTAAACTATTATTTATGTAGCTGACATCACAAATAAAAGTTATAGCAAACATATAAGTTCCAAGCATCATTACTCAGTTCTGAATTTTTGGAATTCTGTACCCCAGAAATCGGTGGATATTCAGCCATGGAGTATATTTAAGACTGAAAACAATAAATTTGTGGGCATCAAATGAAGCATGTAGTGGGATCATGTGAGAAAGTTGATTTGAGGTAGCTATGACCTAAATAGCAAAGCGATTCTCAAAGCAATTTGCTGTCTTCCAACACCCATTCCTTATTTGTCAACTATCATCAATAATTTTCAATATAGTCTTTGGAAATGAGGAAAAAAAGCAAATGCTGCCTGTGAATCATTTTATTGAACATACACCACACAATGTGTCTCTTATAAACCAGGTACATTATTAGAATACTTCTCAAAATTTGCCTTTATCTTAGTGCAGGTAGTGACTGTAACAATTAAATCACTAAATAATCGGTGCTTTTTACAACACAAAAGGCATATTAAAAGCTGTTCCAGCTATTTTCTGTTTTTTTAATACTAGGCTTTTATCTATAGTGATTTAAATCTATTGTTGATACATGACTTTTAATGTTTGAGAATGCAGTAAAGCATTTTAAATGATATTTAAGGTTGTGTTGGTAGTTTCTAACCCAAGAACCAGCAGGAGATTTGTTAGATTTAGCCTTACTTTATTAAAATTGTTAACATTAAATTTATATAAACACTTCTTAATGCTTTTTTTAAAATTGGGGACTTAAGAATTTTACAATCTTGCATTACGTTTCAGTAATATTGTTTCTGACCATCACTTCTATTTGATATAGGCAAATGCATTTAAACAATCGTAAAATTGTAAAAGTGTACATTATAGTAAACATTGCTTTCCAGGCACCTAAGACTCAAAATGGACAAGATGTTTGCTTATAATATGAATATGCACATGCATTTGCTCATGTTGTTGTGGTGTGAAAATAACCTCCTGCCCAGAATTCCTTCCATTATTGTCATAATCCAACCATGCTACTTTGACCACCAATATTCTCGGCATTTTCACAAATGTCATCTCGTGCTCTGTAAAAATTTGTCCATGTTAGACAGAAAAGAGAACAATTAAAATCGTTGTTATAGCAATGAATTTGAGTGAGTTTGTTTCAGTGCAAAGTTCAAAGATCTTTTGATGATCTTGTGATTGTAGAGAAAGGACAAACAAAGGTAGTTAAAGGAAAATACTGATTATGAAATAACAAAAGATGCTCCCAAAATGACCAGCTCAGCAGGACTAAGTAAAAATTGAATTTTGTTTCTCTGTCCTCAGATGTTATTTTGCTATTATGACTATGCATTTCTCTCCAATATTTGTTTTCTTTGCAAACTTTCTCACTAATGAAGGGGTTACAGTGTCACAGGCAACAATTCATGCCCATTCTCAAATGTATTATTTTTCGTGTTGAATTTCTTAAACTGCAATCAAACTCCACAGTCACTTCAGGAAATGAACAGTATTTGCTCACAAACCTCATTGTGTTCATTGTTGCTAATGAATTTAAACAATAAATTGATTTTGAGCCAAATTTGATCACAGTATCAAACATTTGCACTTGCTGATTTAGGGAAGGAAAGATTTCTCCGAGATTAAATGGCAGCAAACTGTTGGGCTGATACACTCGTCTGAAATTTCAATGGTGGGTTTAACTCATTTACTGAGAAAAGGTTAATTAGTAGAGGAAGTATTAGGTTTTCCTATACTGAGTATCGTATTCTCTGTAGTATATTTTAGGATTTTATTGTTTTACAATTTTTCTTCTTTGTTATACATCACATCATACTATGAAATATACAAAAAGTGATGTGACTACACACAGCAGGTCATTGTATGAAAAAAATAACATTACTGTTTGAATAAAAGCTCTTTATCACAAGGGTTTCAATCTAGAATCTCTTTGCTGTTGTTTCCTGATGATGCGTTTTCCAACAGTGTTTTAATCTACCACTTGCTACACCTGTGCAATTATCTGAACTTTAGCTGTCTCCCGTCATGGACAAAAATGTTTTTTTTTGAAGGATGTTCTGGGAGGTCCGATCCAGATAAGAAGTATCCCAGTATATTTAAAGAAATGTAATATGTTGACATAATGGGTTTAACCAATTAATATTGGATAAGCTGTTGATGAACTTTTTGTGTTGAATAAAGTTCAAAGGTTGAGGAGAAAGATGTGGTTACCCAGATCTCTGGTTATGCAGCTTCTTCAGGTGATTACACCATTTTGATGCATTGGGCAATTGATTTTCTTTTTAAATAAGAGACATGTATTTTATGTATGCTCTAATACAAAGATCAACTATTTGATTTCTGGTACACAAACTATTTAGAAGTTTAACGGTGTCTCATAAAAGATACTGTTTGTATCCTTTGAATTACCGTGGTGAATGAAATAAACATGTAAAGGCCTAATGTGAAGCACTGAAGACTTCATGTTCACCTAGCTACTATCCTACAAAACCACTGTAACGTTGCCTCATTTGTGTTTTTTTTTCTTCATTCTGATTCAATATGAAAAACACGAATGTTGTGTTCTATTTCGTTTGTTTTAGTGGAGAAGATCACATTTTGAACTTGGTTTTGTTAAAACTGCTAAGCCTAGTTTAGTTAACCATATGTTAAGCAATAGAACTGTACACACGAGAGAAATTCAAATATTGTAAGAGATCTTTATTGGTTAGATTACTATTGACTAGTCTATAAATATGATATTTGTTCACAGCATCTAGAAAGTTTTTTGATTCTGAGGCTGTTTTTGGCAATCCTCTGAAATCAAAAACTTCATTAAGAAATGTAACACCAGATCAATATATTGTACATTTAATTTCAAGAAAACTTTCTTTTTTTTTGAGATCATTCATAATAGATTCAGCCTGATCTTTCCTGTTTCTGAAATGTTTGTCTACATTTGTTCAGAGGTGCGATGTGTCATTGTTTACATGGGTGACAAGTAGAATAATATCACTTAATTTTAGGCATTCACTTTTTTTTAATCTAACATAGGGTTGTAAAATATTTGATCTGAGACATCCAATTTGCCTACTGGCTTCCTTTTAAGGCAATGCCGCAAACAGATCTGTAAAGAAGTTGTACCTTGATTACCTTTGAACTTAAACTATGGTCAGTGTTCTTAACCACTGTCAGGGCATCAAGTTTGGCATTTTAAAGATGCACTGAGGCAGCTCTTAAACTAATCGTTTAAGTTCTATTGGTGACCTCAATACAGGGTTTCTTTTTTGTAAACACTTCTGTATGTTGGATGCAGCAAATTTACCACATAAAATGTAGCTATCACCCAAAGTATAGTTAGATATCAATGTGCTTGTAATGTAGTTGCTGGATTGACTTAATAAAAATGACTTAACTGTACATATTTTTGTTACTTTGTAGGTTTACTGCAAGTCTGCTGATCTTTTAATAAAATTAGCAATTCTTTCTGATGAGTATGTATTTTTTTGTTTTGCAATAATGGTACTGAATTGTTAACAGTGAGTAACATAAGACACTATCATGTCAGATTTCATACAATTGTTAATTTTGTTTGTACGGATGCAATTGATTCTGGTTGTGAGAAGATTGACATTTTCACTTGCACATAAATGGTGGTCAGAGATAATCTGAATCAAATTCTGTCCCATCTAGTACCTACCTTATGCTGGAAAAGAAAACTAGTTACATAATACCTTTTAGCCACTGGTGCTTTTAATTTATTCTGTTAGTTTTGCTGAATGGATTTCCGAATGCTGAGGTAAACTATTTATCTTTATGATACACTGGGTTTCGAAGGACCTTTTTTCTTACAGTAATGTGCACCTGCATGCAAACAGAATTCTGATGTCTTCCAATAGATGATAAATATTTTGAAACCTGACTCTACTTTTCCTAATTAATAGTCCATAAGCTCGGCAGTGCAGTACAGGTTAAACTCTGTCTCTGGAATACAAACAAAGAAAAAAGATGGTAATAAAGAGAAGCACCCCAATATTTCTGGCTTCTACTCAGCACAAACTGTCAAGAAATTGGGTATATTTTGGGGAATCTGTAGCTAAAAGATGCGATTTTGTTTTTTTATATATTCAGGGGCTTTTGATGTGGCAAACATTTATCACCCAAACTTCACTTTGAGAAAGTGAACCAGTATCTTCTGCTGCCGTTCATGTGGTATAGATACATCTGTTACACTATCTGTGAATCTATAGATTATAAAGATTCTGATCCAGTGACAGTATGTCAGTACGGTTCGAAATCGGGACGGTGGGGTGATTTGAATGAAATCTGGGGGTTGTGCCATTTGTATGTGGCAGCTATCCCTGTTACTCTTGAGTGGTAGAGGTTGCGGGTTTGGCAGCTGTCAGAGGACCCTAGTCAGAGTGACATCTTTTTTAGATGTCACTCGTGAGGGGGTAAATATTTAAGGCAGTGAATAAGTGTAAATCAATGAGGTTGTTTTGCATTGGATGATGCGGAACGTCTGGAGTGTTAAAGCTACAGCTATCCAGGCAAGCGGAAAGTATTCTATTACATGTGGAGTTTGCACATTCTCCCCCTGTCTGCATGGGTTTCCTTCGGGTGCTCCGGTTTCCTCCCACAATCCAAAAATGTGCAGGTTAGGTCGATTGCTTATAGTGTTCAGGGATGTGTAGATTAGGGGGATGGATCTGGGTGGGATGCTGTGAGTGTCGGTGTGGACTTGTTGGGCCGAAGGGCCTGTTTCCACACTGTAGGGACTCTGTGATTCTATGAAAATATTTCATGATAAAGGAGATAATTTATATTTGTAATTCAGGTCCATCATTTAAAAAAAACTTGGAGATTTGTGACACTTTTTTTAAAGACGGGACAATAACCTTCTCCAAAAAAATGGAAAATTTTAATTATTCACACACACTTCGAGTCTGTAAGAGAGTGGTCCATTAAAATTACACTTCTGAACTGCCCACTTCAAGCATGCTACTGCTCTGTCCCATTTTTACGTGCATTGAAAATTGCCAATCTTGGAAATGGCAGATTGGGGCCCAATCCACCAGGTTTAAAAGTCACTTGAGAAATCTCAGCCTTGCATTGGTTCAAGCAAGTCAGTCCATTGTCTCAATCAAGATCGACCATTTTCCTCTTACCTATATTGGAATTTGTTTACGATTTACATACCCATTCTGTAAGCATCTTCTGTCACCAGCTGAGTATTAACACTATTATAGCCCTCTGTAGAAGAGGTGAATAGACCTAAATTGAAAATCTGTACTCCTACGTATTTTTCATAACTAGAATTGTGACTATTGCATGGGCATAGACATGTATTTCCTGAAAAATCAGGAAAGGGCAAGACCCCGTTATCCAGTGACTGACTTTTAGTATGCAATAGAAGTTCTCAAATCTGTTATGGCCCAGAATGAGCAGGATAATAATACGTGGGTCAAACAGTCATACAGAATGAAAACCGATCCTATCACTCGTTCTGTTCGAAGATTACAGTTGCATTTCTCTGCCATTTTAGATTCCACAGTATAGAAAGACTTGGAATGAACACAAACTCTGCATAATTTGATAGACATTTCAAATAATGAAGCAATAGAATGGGTAAAAATAGATGATTTCCAGTGGATGATGATTTGAGAGAGGTGTGAGTCTGAAATGAAAGAATTTAAGAACTTTTCTAGCTAAGATGCTGCTGAGCCTGTAATATGTACAAGTATTATCAGTGTATCAGTGTAATTTACAGATGTTAGTCAATTTGAAAGTAAAAGGATATTAGAATGGAGAAGACACAGAATTAGGACTACGGCTCTAGGGAGTTGAACACTACCACAGACGGTCTGATCTAAAGAGCCCAAGGGAAAACTCAATGGGATAATTTCTAGAGGTAGTAGGAACTGCAGATGCTGGAGAATCCGAGATAACAAGGTGCAGGGCTGGATGAACACAGCAGGCCAAGCAGCATCATAGGAGCAGAGAGGCTGACGTTTCGGGCCTAGACCCTTCATCAGAAAAGGGGGAGGGGAAGGGGGTTCCGAAATAAATAGGGAGAGAGTGGGAGGCGGATAGAAGAGAGGATAGGTGGAGAGGAAACAAACAGGTCGAAGAGGTGGGGATGGGGCCAGTAAAGGTGAGTGTAGGTAGGGAGTTAGGAAGGGATAGGTCAGTCCAGGGAGGACGGACAGGTCAAGGGGGCGGGATGAGGTTGGTCGGTAGGAGATGGAGGTGCGGCTTGAGGTGGGAGGAGGGGATAGATGGGAGGAAGAACAGGTTAAGGAGGTAGGGACGAGCTGGACTGGTTTTGGGATGCGGTAGGGGGAGGGGAGATTTTGAAACTTGTGAAATCCACATTGATACCATTGGGCTGCAGGGTTCCCAAGTGGAATATGAGTTGCTGTTCCTGCAACCTTCGGGTGACATCGTTGTGGCACTGCAGGAGGCCCAGGATGGACATGTCGTCTGAGGAATGGGAGGGGGAGTTGAAATGGTTCGCGACTGGGAGGTGCAGTTGTTTATTGCGAACCAAGCGTAGGTGTTCTGCAAAGCGGTCCCCGAGCCTCCGCTTGGTTTCCCCGATGTAGAGGAAGCCACACCGGGTACAGCGGATGCAGTACACCACATTGGCAGATGTGCAGGTGAACATCTGCTTGATGTGGAAAGTCTTCTTGGGGCCTGGAATGGGGGTGAGGGAGGAGGTATGGGGGCAGGTGTAGCACTTCCTGCGGTTGCAGGGAAAGCACTTCCTGCGGTTGCAGGGAAAAGTGCCGGGTGGGGTGGAGCTGGAGGGGAGTGTGGAGCGGACAAGGGAGTCACGGAGAGAGTTGTCCCTCCGGAAAGCAGATAAGGGTGGGGAGGGAAAGATGTCTTTGGTAGTGGGGTCGGATTGCAGATGGTGGAAGTGTCGGAGGATGATGCGTTGGATCCGGAGGTTGGTGGGGTGGTACGTGAGGACGAGGGGGATTCTTTTTTGGTTCTTATTGCATGGACGGGGTGTGAGGGATGAGGTGTGGGAGATGTGGGAAACACGGTTGAGGGTGTTCTCGACCACCGAGGCGGGGAAGTTACGGTCCTTGAAAAACGAGGACAACTGAGATGTACGGGAGTGGAATGCCTCATCCTGGGAGTAGATGCGGCGGAGGCGAAGGAATTGGGAATAGGGGATAGCATTTTTGCAGGAAGGTGGGTGGGAGGAGGAGTATTCTAGGTAGCTGTGGGAGTCGGTGGGCTTGAAATGAATATCGGTTTCTAGGTGGTTGCCCGATATGGAGACACAGAGGTCCAGGAAGGGGAGAGAGGTGTTAGAGATGGTCCAGGCAAACTTAAGGTTGGGGTGGAAGGTGTTAGTGAAGTGGATGAACTGTTCGAGCTCCTCATGGGAGCACGAGGCGGCGCCGATACAGTCACCAATGTAACGGAGGAAGAGGTGGGGTTTAGGGCCGGTGTAGGTACGGAAGAGGGATTGTTCCACGTAACCTACAAAGAGGCAGGCGTAGCTTGGGCCCATGCGGGTACCCATGGCTACCCCCTTTGTCTGTAGGAAGTGGGAGGAATTGAAAGAGAAGTTGTTGAGTGTGAGGACGAGTTCGGCTAAGCGGATGAGGGTGTCAGTGGAGGGGGACTGGTCGGGCCTGCGGGACAGGAAGAAGCGGAGGGCCTTAAGGCCATCTGCATGGGGAATGCAGGTGTAGAGGGACTGGACGTCCATGGTAAAGATGAGGTGTTGGGGACCGGGGAATTGGAAGTTCTGGAGGAGGTGGAGGGCGTGGGTGGTGTCACGGACATAGGTAGGGAGTTCCTGGACCAAGGGGGAGAAAATGGAGTCTAGATAGTTGGAGATCAGTTCGGTGGGGCAGGAGCAGGCGGAGACAATGGGTCGACCAGGGCATTCAGGTTTGTGGATTTTGGGAAGGAGATAGAAGCGGGCAGTGCGAGGTTGGGGAACGATGAGGTTGGAGGCTGCGGATGGGAGGTCACCTGAGGTGATGAGGTTGTGGATGGTTTGGGAGATGATGGTTTGGTGCTCAGGGGTGGGGTCATGATCAAGGGGGCGGTAGGAGGAGGTGTCGGAGAGTTGGCGTCTGGCCTCGGCGATGTAGAGGTCAATGCGCCATACCACAACTGCGCCTCCCTTGTCCGCGGGTTTTATGGTGAAGTTGCGATTGGAGCGGAGGGCTGCACGTTCTGCAGGGGAGAGGTTGGAGTGGGTGAGAGGGGTGGAGAGGTTGAGGCAATTGATGTCTCGACGGCAGTTGGAGATGAAGAGGTCGAGGGAGGGTAGGAGGCTTTGGGGTGGTGTCCAGGAGGAGGGGGTGTGTTGGAAGCGGGAGAAGGGGTCAGTAGAGGGAGGGTTAGGTTCACGGTTAAAGAAGTAAGCGTGGAGGCAGAGGCGGCGGTAAAACTGCTCTATGTCCAAGCGTGAGCGGTATTCGTTGATCTGTGGGTGGAGGGGGACAAAGGTGAGCCCTTTACTGAGGACTGACCGTTCGTCCTCAGTAAGGGGTAGGTCTGGGGCTGGATGAACACAGCAGGCCAAGCAGCATCAGAGGAGCAGGAAGGCTGACGTTTCGGGCCTGGACCCTTCATCAGAAAATGCCTTAGGGAGTGTGGGAAATCCATTTGGCAAGGTCCTATTTGCTACCTCTCCTATGTATTTTTGCAAGATCAATGTAATTATGACTTTTTGTTCCTTGGCTCTAGCTCTTACCCTCTGTGCTATCTCCATTAATACACACCACAACACTTGTCTGTTTACCCTCGGTATATTTTGTAGCTGCCTAGTGACATCCTGGACAGTGGTACCTGCAGAGGCAACACATCATCCTAGATTCACGTCTGTAACTCTAGAAGCTCTTAGTTTTTCCCCTAACCTTTGAGCAATCCCGGGGAGTTGGCAACAGTGGTAGCTGATATCCTCTTTACGACACTGCCATAAACCGGTTTTCGTGTGAGGAGAAGTAGATGAGAGAATTCCTCCCGCTTATGGTTAAACCTCTTCGATTATTTAAAACTAATAATGTTCAAATTAAATCCACACATAATCGCGCAGTTGTAGAAGGGTAGGTTACTTTTTTTTTAGTGCTGAAAACAACAAATGCTGGCGACATCACAGCGGGTCAAATAGCATCCATAAACAGAGAGAGCAAGCTAACATTTCGACCACCGGCTGCAGCTGGCTAAAGTCCTTATTTGAATATTCGAGCAAATTTCCATGAAACACGGTGATTTCACCTCGTCCTGGGTGCTTGCAAGTTGGTGGATGCGAACCCTTCCCTGTGCTAGAATTGAAGATGGTAGCAAGGTCACCAAATTAGCATCGACAGTGCGGTCACGTTTCTTCAGGAGCCGACCGCGTGCGCACTCGCTTTTCTATAATATTCCAACGTTTGTGCGCCGTTGTCCCGCCTGCTTGTTTACCATACGCCACAATGAGATTCGCGACGCCCTGTTTATTGGTCAATCGGGGTTTCAATCAGACAGGGCTTGAGAAGCTCCGCCCATGAACCGTGGCTCGCTGGTTATTTGTAAGTTCGAGTGTTTAGTATCCTTTCCGAAAGGGATAGGAGGGGAGGTGTGCAAGTTGGATCATTATACAGAATAACGGTGGTTTCAAGTTTTACGTGTGCCCGCTTCTGAGCTTCATCCTTATCCGTTCACTGTAGGAGCCTGCAGACGCGGGGCGGGTGCGATGAGACAAGGTATTAAAAGCTTTCGCATTCAACCGAGGCCGACAGGATTGTAATGGGGCCGAGCCGGGCCTGGCCTGGCTTGGTCTGTCACTCAATGAAAGGAGCTGCCTGACTCTGTTTGTCTGACTTGCCCGGCTCTGTCCCTTTGCCTGTTCTTTGAGGAAGCTCGGTTCTTGCTGTTACTGGCGCTCTGAGGCTGTCCTGGGTCAGGTTTGGTAAGATGATCTCATCCCAGCCCAGTTTGATTGCTGGCAGTCACCATTGCGGACGACAATCTCATCCATGAGTTTACTTTCCCTTGTCTTCACTTCCAACAAGCACTGATTTATTCTGCGGTACGCACCGCGGGAGATTGGGCCGGGGAGGATCAAACTCGCATCTTTCGTGTTCTTTTTGCCCCCCCCGCGCCCCCTTTTTTTTTGAAAACTTAGCTTGATGCCTTTTTATCCATTAGCCTAACATCTACCTTCTCCGTCACAACAGTTGTGGATTTTAATAAGACCTTCAACCTAGCGAAAGACCGAAGACTTCGCACGAGTATGATCAGACCAAATTGACACCAATCCAAGGAGGGAGATAATGGGGTAGAATGCTAGAATTTTGGTTTAAAAAGTAAGTTGTAAGAATGTTGAGCAGTTTGGAGGTGAAAGTTCCAGAGCCTAGGACCTAGATCACAAGAAAAAAAGAACTGGAATAGACTATTTAGCCCATTGAGTCTGCTCAACTATTCAATAAGGTTCAATAAAACTCTACTTTCCTGCCTTTTCCCATTATCCTTGACTCCTTGTAGATGAAAAATCTGGCCAATTCTGTGACCCTGCCTTTACTCCGTGAAAGAACTATAAAGGTTAACAGTCTTTTGAGAGAAGAAATTTGTAATTTTTCCTTGCATGGGAGGCCCTTATTTTGAAACTTTGCATGTAGTTTGATATTCCCCCATGAAGGGAAACAACATTTCACCATCTAAACTGTCACGCCCCCTTGAAGTTTGTAAATTTCATTAAGATAATCTCTTCTACATTCCAATAAGTACAGGTTTCCAGCTCCTTGGTGTTTGATGGCAGTGTATATAAATGCACAACAGATGGGACAGAGAAGCAATATTAGGCTGGTGTATAAAAGTTGCAACTTTTGTGAGGTAGAAGGGGTGGAGTTGAGGAGGATAGTATGGTCTGTGCAGTGTTTAGTAACTTTCGACAGTGTATACTGTACTTCTTTGGTTGATTAAACTTTCACTGCAGATACTTTACAACAGCTATCCCAAGCTTTAGTGCAGCCCGCAATATGTAGTTCTGGAATTTGCCAGACACCCATACTCAGAGTAGCAAGTTTCAGGCAGACTAGAGCGCACCTTTCACTGGGATTTATCTGAGATTGAGTCCCTGAGAATAGCCTGGTGATCACTGAATTCTGTGTTACATAGTTGCTTAGAATGAACCTTGACAAGCAAAAAAATGTATCTCACCTGTTCTGCTTTGCAATGGCATTCCAGAATAATTTGATCAGTAGGGTACTTCACATCATGTGACATATTGGAGACATCCCTCATAGTAGGCTCATCCTGAAGATTAAGGTGTGTGGGATCCACGGTGACTTGGCCACGTGGATTCAGAATTGGCTTGCCTATAGAAGAAGAAGGTAGTGGTAAAAGGGTGTTTTTCAGGCTGGAGGTCTGTGACTAGTGGTGTTCCACAGGGATCTATACTGGGACCTCTGTTTGTGATACATATGAATGACTTGGATGAAAATGTAGATGGGTGGGTTAGTAAGTTTGCAGATGACACAACAATTGGTGGAGTTGTGGATGGTGTAGAAGGTTGTCAAAGGATATAGCGGGATATAGATCAGTTTCAGAAATGGCAGGCGGAGTTTAATCTAGACAAGGTAAGGTGCTGCACGTTGCGAGATCAAATGTTAAGGAAAAGTATACGGTTAATGGCAGGGCCCTGAACAACACCGACGTACAGAGGGATCTTGGGATTCAAGTCCACAGCTCCCTGAAACTGGCCACACAAGTAGATAGGGTGGTAAAGAAGGCAAAATGGCATGCTTGCCTTTATGGTCAGGGAATTAAGTACAAGAGTCAGCATGTCATGTTGCAGCTTTATAAGACTTTGGTTAGGCCACACTTAAGAGTATTGTGTTCAATTCTGGTTGCCACATCACAGGTAAGATGTGAAGGCTTTGGAGAGGGTGCAGAAGAGGTTTACCAGGATTCTGCCTGGATTAGACGACATGAGCTATAAGGAGAGGCTAGAAAAACTCTGGTTGTTTTCTGTGGAGCAGCGGAGGCTAAGCAGAGATTTGATAGAAATGTATTAAAATTATGAGGTGCATGGATAGGGTTGATGGTCAGAATCTTTTTCCCGTGTTGAAATGTCTAAAACTAGGGGGCATGCATTTAAGATGAGGAGGGAAAATACAAAGAAGACGTCTGGGGCAAGTTTTTTACACAGTAGTAGGAGTCTGGAACGTGTTGCCAAGGGTGATGGTGGAGGCAGATAGGATAGGGGCATTTAAGAGAATTATGGATAAGCACATCAAATGCGAGGAATGGTGGGATACGGACCAAGGTCAGGCAGAAGGGATTAGTTTAATTTGGCGACATATTTGGCACAACATTGTGGGCTGAAGGGCCCATTCCTGTGCTGAACAGTTCTTTGTCCTATGAGAGTCATAGTCAGCAGGGCTACAAAACGATTCTGACAGTCTGCTCAAGAAATCATACAAAAGGATCCACCAGTGCCTTTTCACACAATGTCTTGAGTTTGTTATGTGCACAACACTGCGTGATGGACTTGGGGTCATGAGCATCGTTCTGCACATACCTTTCCACTAAGGATGAGTATCACAGCACGGTCCACCTGAGGCACAGCACACTTTCGATCTTCAGAGAAGGCGGTATGTGGCTCAGTGATTGGCATTGCTGCCTCACGGTGCCAGGGACACAGGTTCGATTTTAGCCTTGGGTGACTGTCTACGTAGAGTTAGCACGTTTCCCACTGTGTCTGCTTGGGGTTCCTCCAGGTGCTGTAGTTTTCACCCACAGACCAAAGAAGTGCAGGTTCAGTGGATTGACCATGGGAATATGCAGGGTTAGAGGGATAGATTAGAGGGGTGGGTCTGGATCGGATGCTCTTCAGAGGATCAGTGTGGACTTCCACACAGCTTCCACGCTAAGTATTCTTTGAAGACAGAAGATAGCTCAGGTGACTGCCATGGTGCAGAAGCAGGCTGTGGGCCAAAGCCTGGACCATGTAGAGCAACACTGAGAGCATCTCATACTTTACAATAAGGTGCTTTTACCCACAATTGAGAGAGAATTCCCTCACCCTCTGAACTATATTCTCAAGAACTCCACGCCTGACTCTGAGTGGAACAAATCTTGGTTGTCTCTGTCTCACAGCGTAATGGTCTTGAACAACATGATTCCAGCTTAACCCTTGAGAAAAATCTGGGACAATGTTTAAAATGGTTTCTGACATACTGGACTTATGAAAATATCACCCGTGAAGCACGGTTAATAAAATATTTGCTCAATTCTGTTTTATTTGTTCTATTCATTAATAGATGTTCTAATACTGTTCTGTTGAATTTCTCTGGCTTTCTTTGATTATTATGGAGTCATGGGGAAATTTGCAGGGTGTTCGCAAGCTAAATGAATAATTTTGAAATGTGTACTTTCTGTGAAAGGAGTAGGTGCAAGATGCCCAGTGACTTCCTTTGAATTCCTGGTTTCTCTACAGTTTGGAACTTGTGCTCTGGATCACTGTTATAATCATCAAAATTGAGAATAAAATGGTGATATCAGCCCTACACTTAACTATTTGCATAATCTATGGAGTTTGATATCTTAAGTTCAGAGACACAATGTGCAAACTTTTTTGGTGTTTAACCTGCTTAGTTAGAACTTTGACTTTGCAATATGAACCTGAATATGCTAAAGGCAATGCAATGTGAAGGATGTTATGCTTAACTGCAGTGCAGAATTTGATGTTTTTCAATTTGTTTTCTAGATTTTAATGAAATTGCTGAGCCTGAGCTGATCACCTGCCTGAAGTGTATAAGAAAGAAAATATATTTATGGAACCAAATCTTCAGGATACCTGTGAGGCTGATTCAGAAGAAGCACAAAAAACGGCTGTCTCTGTCGAAGCTGCTCAGACCCCTGCAAGATCAACGACCCACATAAATAACGATGGATTAGGATCTACAACCAGTGATTTTCACACTGAGAACCCTGCTGAGAACTATGCGCGTTTGGGAAAAGAAGCCATTTGTGTGTCCGGCTTCATTGAAAAAGACTGTGATGGTTTAATCAGCGATACTAACAAGAATACTTCATTTATATCTGCAGCATCTGTACGAGTTTCTAAACCACACGTTGCTATTAAAACATCAGGGCGAGCAGCAACTAATAACAGAAGTCCACAAAAAGACAAAAGTCTGCTTGTTTCTGACCTAAAATTAACAAGTAATCTTTTTACTACAGATGGGATAGCTTCTACAGTGTCTGCAGGTGAAAACCATCGACCATTTGGTACAACCCTTTTACAGCAAAGTGCTGATGTTAACAAGGAGAAACCCAAATCTGCAAATCACAGTTCACAACTTGCAGAGTGTCATCCCACTCTGAGTAAGAGTGCTGTCATATGTGCCACAATCACTTCAAAAGATACCAATCTCCATCCCAACACTCTGGTAGTTTCAGAGCAGAGTACTCGTGAGATAGAAGGCCAGTGGAGGAAAGGAGGAAAAGACCTGCTGATTGATCACTTAAACCATTCTGCTGCAAATGAGAATGTTGCAACTGTAAATGAGTCCGAAATTAAGTTTTGTCTAGCTCCTGATCCATTACTTATACAGCAAAATACAGACAAAAAACAAGAGTCATGCATAAAAGACCAAAATAGCTTGATGTGTAATCCAGAAGTGGACCTCTGTGATAGATCTGTGAATGGTTGCCCTCGTGAAACAAGCGCTAATCCTGTGAACATCCCTAAGAAACGAGGAAGAAAGCCTAGAAGTGCAGTGGTTACATTTGCAAAAGAAATTCCCAGTCATGGCAACAGTGAAAATGGTTGTGGCCCAGAAGTGGGAACTCTTGAGCCAGTGCTGATTCCAAAGAAACAAGCAAGAAAACCTAAAAATACAAGAACAGTGTCGCAAACATCAAAACGGTATTCTGATGCTGCTGAGAATGATGGCAAATTTGAATTGGGAGCTCCTCAACCAGCCAACATCCCAAAGAAAAGGGGAAGAAAACCTAAGAATGCAAAAATAATGTCTGTTGAAAGAGTAGTGCAGCAAATTCCATCAAAGGGGATTAGTGATGATGCTAAAAATGATAGTAACAATGAGATGGTAATTCATGAACCAGTGAAGATCCTGACAAAACGAGGAAGAAGACCTAAGAATGCAAAAGCAGTGGCTGCTGAAAGAGTGGTGCTGCAGGCTCCAACAGCTGGTAGTAATATTTCTGAAAATGGTGGTGTCACTGAGATTGATGCTCCACCACCGATGCAGATACCCAAGAAGAAAGGAAGAAAACCTAAAAATAAGATGGTACCCCAAGAAGAGAGTACAGATACCCATGGGCTGTTGAAGCCAATCGTCCAGAGATTATTGGAAGAGAGCAATGCCAACAATGAGCTAACGGCAAGTGGCCGACCAAAGAGGAGGGCGGCCAGAGCGTAAGGAACTAATCTTATTGGCCATGCACATGTGCTTGAATTGTAGCTGGTAGGCAAGACTCCCTACCAGTAATACAAGATTGGAATGTTACTCTCCCATCTCAACACAAATATAACAAAAATCAGAGAGAGACCAAGATATTAAAATCGGTGTACACTAAGTATGAAACTACTATGGGTGTGTCATTGATTCTAATATTTATTTCTAAATGGTCTGATGAGTGTAGTGAAGCCTCCATGATCTGAAGAAGGGTCACTTGACCCAAAATATTAAATCTGATTTCACTGTACAGATGCTGCCGGACCTGCTGAGCTTTTCCAGAAATTTCTGTTTTTGTTTCTCTACGGTCTGTTGCTTTCTCCATACATCATAATCGTGGTTTGCAGAAACATTTAGCTATGAATGGAATATGCTTAGTTGTCTGGTGGTCAACACATTCTTATGTTAAAGATCGCTGCCATCTTGCATTAGGATATGGGTATGCTCACTGTGTCCCATAAATGTGTCATGACCCAGGGCACATTACTGAGGGAGGAATAATATGAGGCAGGGTTACCAATTAGGACACAAATGTTGGGAGGATTTATGGAATACATTGCTTCCAAATTTGAATGATAAAGCAAACAGAGGTGATAAGCTTGTCCCGTTTGGCAAAATTTTCATTCCAATATAAGTAAAATTATTAGAATATTAAGCTGCTTTCTTGGAGCACATAATAATTTGTTTTATTAGTTATGAAAAATCAGTAATCTGTTTTAAAACTGCAATTTTTACATTTTTACCTTTGCACTTCTGCCCACCGTTTACATCCTGTCATAGGAAACTAATTTGCTCTGAATTTCAGTTGTATTTTGTATTGCTTTTACAACAATTCTTGCAAAAGGGGAGAGAAATGCTTTCTCTGGAAGTATGATATTTTGATCTGTCTTTAACTTGCTGTGTTGCAGGCAGAGCAGCTGACTAAAGCCAAGCTCAATACTCAGACAAGCTGTACAATATCCTAATTGATCACCTGCTTACAAAACATAGCGGAAGCTAAGAAAACATTTCTAATCAACTTTTTTCATGAGCTGAAGCTGTCCAAAAGGACTTTGCAGCCAATAAACTACTTTTGTGATATGGCCACTGTTGTGCAGTAAAAGGCAGCCATTTTGCATACAGCAAGATCCCACAAGTAGAGTGGAATATGTGACCTGTTTACACTGTTGATCATGGGATGTATATTGACCAGGACGCAGGCTTGTTCTTTGAATATCAGCATGGAATTTTAAAGTCCATCTGAGCAGGCAGACTTGGTTTAACTTGTAATTGTAAATATGCCATCTTTGCAAGTGTAGCTCTGCCTCTATACTATTGTGGAATGTGAGCTGGTATTGTGTGCTGAAGTCCTGAAATAGAACGTGAAACCAGAACGTGTACATATAGATTCTAGCAAGCATGCTAGCTACCAAGCCATGACTGATGACATGAGTAGCCAAAAATGTGTTGTACTTGAGTTGTTTTTATTTGTTCTAGTGACGTGTGACCTGTTTCATCATGTGTTAAAATAATCATAGAAATAAATAGATTCTCATAAACGCATCTGAAATAATAGGGCTTTATGGCTTTGACCCTTTGAATCAAAAAGTTTGAAGTATTTTTGGCAATTTTGCTATTGAAATATTTAACATGGCTGCACCACATTCCTTTCCAATTCTAAGACATGGGAGAGATGAATTTAATGTGTGCATTAAGCATTTGTGTGATAATGTTGCTAATGAAAAATTTTGCCCCTTTAGATTTTCAGTTTTTGATATAATTGGTATATGACCATAAAATCAAAATCTCTGTTTTGCAACAGATTTTTATGTTTAAAATCTACTTCTTGAGTTTCTGTTGCTTACTATTCACTAACAGTCATTGTACTTTTCATTATTAATTTACAGTATTTGCACCAAATGAGTTGTACAGAATATTTTTTCTGTCCTTGCAGTGTTTCAATGCAATCAAAATAGCTTGGAGAGATTGTGGTGTAGTAGTAATGTCAGAGTAATCCAGCTGCCCAAGATAATGCTCTGAGGATATGGCTTCTAATCCCACCATGCTGCGGATGGGATTTAAATTCAATTGTGTAATGAATCTAGAATTGGAAAAGCTAGTCCCAGTAATGATGCAATGAAACTGTCATCAATTCTCATAAATATTCATCTGGTTTGCAATATGTCCTTTAGGGAGGAAAACTGTTATCCATGCCTGAATTGGCTGAAGTGTTACTTAAAATTCACAGCTATGTGGTTAATTGTTAATTACCCTTTGAAATGTACCAGTAGTTAGATTCAACAAATACTGGTCTTGCCAATGACGCATGCATCTCACGAAGGAATTTTTAAAATTTTGAAATACTACACGGGATTGCCAACCTTGATTTCATATTCCAGATCAGAAGTAGGGTCCGTAATCCATCTGAGTCTGTGTGCTACCAACTGAACCACCGTTGATGCTGGTTCTTAGCACCTTTCATGACTTCAACACAAATCAAAGCATCTTATAGGCAATAACATACCTTTTGAAGTACAGTCACAGTAGCAATGTAGCAAATCTGGTAGGCAATTGATACACAACACAAGCATAAATATGTTAATAAGCAGATAACAGACAAACTGCATCAAGAATTAGCTTGCAATCAAGAAGCAAAGGGGGATGGTGGAGGGATGTTTTTGGGATTGGAAGCCTGTGACCCGTGGTGTACCACGGGGATCTATGCTGGGACCCTTGCTGTTGTTTATGTACATTAATGACTTGGATGTGAATGTAGAAAGTGTTATTAGTAAGTTTGCAGATCTCACAAAAATTGGTGGCAATGTTGAAAGTGAAGAGGATGCTCTCAGGCTGCAGTGTGATATTGATCAGCTGGTAAATCGGGCAGAGCAATGATAGATGGAGTTTAGTGTCAATTGTGAGGTGATGCATTTTAGGAAGAATTCATGCAATGAATGGTAGGTCCCTAGGGACTACAGAGAAACAAATCAATCTTGATGTACAAGTCCACAGATACCTGAAGGTGTCAGCATAGATGGATAGGGTGGTGAAGAAGGCATACAGGATGTTTACCTCCACGAGCCAAACCACAGAATTTGGAAGCAAGGAAGTCTTGTTACAACTTCATAAACCATTGGTTAGGTCACAGGTGGAATACTGAGTGCAGTTCTGGTCGTCACACTACTGGAAGGACGTGACTGCACTGGAGAGGCTGCAGAAGAGATTCAGTAGGATTTTGCCTGGGCTGAAAAGTCTCCACCATGAGGAGACCATGAATAGGCTGGATTTGTTTTCGTTGGAGCAGAGGAAGCTGAGTGAGGATCTGTTTGAGGTATACAAAATTATGATAGGCATAGAGTAGTTTGTGAGAATCTTTTTCTCGTGGTAAATATGTCTAAGACCAGAGGGCATAAGTTTTTAAAGTGAGGAGCAACTGGTTTAGAGGAGATTTGACAAGAAGGGTGGTAGCAATATGGAAATTGCTGCTTGAAAGGGTAGGGCAGGCAGGTTACTCTTGCAACATTAGAAGCATTTAATAATGAGTACTAAAAATGTCAGGGCATAGTAGACTGCGGACCAGGTGCAGGTAAATGGGATTACTGAAGCTTAGTATTTGTTGGTCAGCGTAGAAGTGGTGGGCCAAAGAGTCTGTTTCTATGTTGTATGACTCTATAATCTATTTTGTTATTGAATAATTAAGAAATACTGGGTTGATGTAAGGGTGATTCTCCCTTAGTCTTTGAATGTACCATGAGATCTTCTACATTATACAACTGAAAGCAAAATATTGTAGGTGCTGGTGATCTGAAGAAAAAACAGAAAGTACTGGGGGAAAAAAAAGTAGGTTTTTTCAGCATCTGTGGAGAACAAAAGTAAAATACAGCCGGTGCTGGGAATCTGAAATAAAAACAAAATGTTCGAAATCCAGCATTTCCTTTTTTAATTCCATAGTACTTCGCTGGAGTGTCAGCCTAGATTTCACGCGCAAGAATCTTAGGTCTTTTGACTCAGTGGTAGGAGTGATATCAACAGAACCAAGGTTATGCTACTTCTTAAACATAGTGCAAAATATGAAGTGTTAGCACTTTGGTTCTTAATGCAAACTGCAGGATCCGAGGATAGAGGGGATGTTGTGGTTGCTTCTCTCCTTGAAGCACTTTTTGTTGTCATTCTTGGCCTTCAAAGAGTGGCTTTTTTTTTTTTGCAAGTCCCAGTTTTCATCTCAATTGAGTATGTTTTCTTTTTTTCTGCCCTTTTAGAAGTTTTGTTTTCTTATTTTTCACCAAATGAGGTATGTTCGCAATGAAGTACAGTTGAATCTACACCTGGAATGAGGTGTCAGTGCCATATAGCAAACAAGAACCGTAAAGTATTAGAGTAGATTTGTAGCTTGGGTTATGGATGTTGTGGTTGGTTGGCTCACCGAACTGGTTCATTGTTCCTCAGACGTTTCATTACCCTGCTGGGTAACATCATCAGTGCAGCCTCCAATGATAATGAAACGTGTGCAGAACAATGAACCAGTTTGGCGAGCGAGCCAACCAACCACAACAACCGTACTGTAGCTAAGTAACAGGATGAAGGATTAGAATACAAGGGAGAATCCCTTTGCAAGCATGTGATTGTGCTATGACAAAAAAAGAGAAAAGAAAGGTGAAGGACTTGAAGAGGATAGGAAGTGCTATGAACGTATGGTGCAGTTTTAGTAATTAGTGATCAAATATTAACTAAAATACAAAGTGAACTCCCAAGCTCCTCTTAGATTAGTACCATGGAATATTTTCTGTTGGATAGGGCCTCGGTATAATACTTGTCTGAAACAGTGCAGTTGTGCCTCAGGACTATTGCAAAGGTTATGATTCATATCCTGGAATGGAGTTTGAAGCCACAACCTACTAACTGCAAAACCAGAGTGTTACTATTAAGCATAGGAGATACTTGATACTGAATGAGAGAATGTAGAATCAGAAGTCTAACTCGGCAATTACAGAATAATTGCACAGGGAGCTTGCAAGTTTGTTTAAGTATTAAATTAATATTAAATTCAAAATGAGAGAAATTCAGCTTACTGCATACAAGGAAAAATGGCATTACACAGACTCCACGAATGGCAGCATTCTTGTCTGAGCCAGAATAATGGTAATTCTAGCCCCACTTTTGATTGAAGTTGAGGATAGATTTCGGAAAAAAAACTCAGTTGTCTAGCACGTCATCATGTACTTGGATATACTGAAGCTATTCACAGCTACAGACTATTTTTGCAGCAAATCGCTCTGATGTAGTTAAGTGTGGCAACAAATCTGCTCAGAGCAAAGTTCTGCAAACAACTTCTGGGATAAATGGCCAGTTATTATGCATTGATTAAGGAACAAGTCAATTCCATATTCTGTAAAAAGTGCTATCAGATGTTTTTTTAAACTTTCACCTAACATGCCGTTGAAAACTGAAACATTTGACAATGCAGAATTATCTTATCTACTGTGATATTTCAGTGCAGTGCTATGAGTTGAAGTCCTAGAGTGTGGTCCACACAAACCTGACCTCAGACAAAGGTTCTAATATATTTGATGTTAAACATGCCCAACCAAAACAAAACAGAGTTCAGTAAAACCATTAGAATTCTAATCTTTACAATTGAAACAAAAGAATACAAGTGGGGAACTCATCGTAAGTTTTGTGCCCTTTTACAAAGAAAAAGGGACACATTTAAAGCTTTGGAAACAATTTGCGGAGAACTATAAGCCAATACCTAGTGCTAATTATGGGGAAAGACTGAAATCACTTGAGCTTTTCAGCTAAGAAAGCACCAGAGAGACTATCTTTTTGATAGATACTGAAAATAAATTGTGCAGAATTTATCAATTTTAAAAAATGATTTTAAGTTAACTGCAAAAATAGGCCAAAAGACCACTGCATCAAACTAGTTGACATTAATTCTATGAGTAATATTGAAAATTGCGGAGCGATTTATATCTGAATTGGATTCTGAGGAGGGCCGTTGAAACTGTGGCATCATTTAAGAAACAAAAACAGAAAATTGCTGGAAAAGCTCAGCAGATCTGGCAGCATCTGTGGAGAGAAATCAGAGTTAACATTTCAGGTCCAGTGACCTTTCAGAACTGGTTGAGTTAACTCTGTTTTCTCTCCACAGATGCTGCCAAACAGTGTTTTTTTTTGCTTCTGATTTCCAGCTCCCACAGTTCTTTTGTTTTTTATCATTTAAGAAATGCTGGTACAAAGACAAAGTTGCTGGAAAAGCTCAGCAGGTCTGGCAGTTCGTGAAGGAAAAAACAGAGTCCAGTGACCTGAAACGTTAACTCTGTTTTTTCCTTTGAAGACTGCCAGACCTGCTGAGCTTTTCCAGCAACTTTTTGTTTTTGTTCCTGATTTACAGCATCCGCCGTTCTTTCAGTTTTTATTAAGAAATGCTTGTAGATACTTTTCATCAACATGTTCAGAACTGTTATGAAACATACTTGGAGCAAGCAGAATTTGAACTCAGACCCTCTGGCTCAGAGGCAAAGGCACTGTGCTTCAACAAAAGACTTGTAAGTATTTTCAATTAACCTGCTCGGACACTTCCAGAGCAAGTGAGACTTGAGCCCAGGTCTCTAGGTTCAGAGGTAGGATGAAAACACTGTCAGTTTAATCATCAAAAATCATAATTATGTTGAGATATTTATGGGATGACAGAGTAAGACTAAACCTTCCCTCTCCTGCCTCCATATCTAAACAGTAATGCTTACTGAGAATCATTTCTGTTTCCCAAACCTAGTGTCATGTTTCTTTGAATAAGTCAGTCAATTACTTCATGTTAGGTGACATTTCATGGCATCAGTGTCTTGAGTTTAACTTAAAGCAGGTCCTGTTACACTGCTCCACCAGCTTATTTTCTTTTGAAGTGTTTTCTTCCTTTTTGTCTTTCTTGGATCTTTTCATGTTGTATATTATTAAGATTCAGTCTCGGATATCTGAAACTACTTGCAAAAGCTACACAGGGTGACTGACTGTTTGCAGACACCTCAACTGTGCTCAGTGCTAGCCCTGATGACCATCACATAGCTGAGAATAACAACTTGTTATGTGAAAGGATTAACACGTTCATGCTATGTTATTCAAAAGTGTAGTATCCTTTTTGATGCTTTTTGGTGTCCTGCAATCCTTTTTGTCTGTGATATCTGTGTATCTTGTCAATCGTGGTTAACCCCTCTATAAGTTAAAAGACATTACAACACTTAATAATGTTATACTTTTATTTGACCTTTTCCCAGAATAATGCATAATGTAATTTTTAAAAAAAAGTCACCCTGTAGCTATTGTTGTACATGCATTGTAATTTGTTGTTTGGGAATGAATGGGAGAAGAATGGTCAGACTTTCACTCTTTCATTGTGTGAAATATTGGGGGGATATTTGCCTGTATTATAATTTATCATCATCATGTGTGTAGATCATTAATCTACGTTGTCTTTTCTTTCAGTGCTTTGCTTTACCTACATGAAATAGTAGAGGAAATAAAATCACCGTCTTATAAGGTGGATGATGTGGCTGGCAATATAAGTGATTGTGAACCAGATCAACCTCTGGATCAATCACTATCTCAACCTCCGTCTTCCCCAAAACGAAGAAAAGGAAGGAAGAGGCAGAAGATCAGTGATGTTTTTGATGACTTGTCAGATGACAAAGATTTTGTGATCTCTGATGAAGGAACTGACGAGGAAGAGGACGAAGAATTTAATGAAGTCGAACCATGCAGTGATGGTTCTGAGTCTGATCTATGTGATTTTCGTGATGGAGATGGTCAGAAACAAAGAAGGAGTCCGATAAATGTAAGTTACTTTATATAATGGTTCAGCTCTGCAGTCATCTGCATGTCTGTTATGTAGTGACCTAGAATGCTGTATTCTGAGTATGGAGCAAAACTTCCAGAATTGGTTCTATCGTCCCTTTTAATCACTGGAACATCAGCAATTCTAAATTGAAAGTTATTATTTATTTGTTGAGTGGTACAAACACAGGAGTAATTTAAACTACTTGCCAAGCAAAAGTGTGGGCAGGCAGTTAAATTGTCCCACTGATCTGTTGCTCATGTCCTGAGTGGGCATTACTACCTTCCCAAAAGCATAAAACATAAGAGCAGGAATGGGTATTCTAGTGCTTCAAGCCTGCTTTGCCAGTTAATATGATCATGGCTGATCTCATCTCTGCCTCAAATCCACGTTCCTGCCTGCTTTCCATAACCCTTTAACCCATTACTAATTAAAAACATATCTATCTCCTCCTTAAATTTATTCCAGCATCCACTGCTCTCTGGGGTAGTAAATTCCAGATTCGCAACCCTTTGAGTGAAGTAATTCCTCTTCCTTTCTATTTTAAACCTGCCACCCTTTAGCCTAAAATTATGACCTCTCACTAGATTGCCCTACAAGGTGAAACATCTACTTTGTAAATCCCCTTTACTATCTTACTTCAATTAGATCTCCTCTTTTACTTCTAAACTCTAGCAAATATAGGCGTAAATTCTCAATCTCTATTCATAAAACAAGCCTTTCAAACCTGGAAGTAACCTAGAGAGCCTTCTCTGAACTGTCTCCAATGCAATTACCTCCTTTAATTTTAACCTGTCATTTTGAATTGATGGCAAGGATCCCAAACCTAGGATTAATCAGCTTTAAATATGCAGATTTGGTCTGATGACACTTCATTGATTTTTTTCCTTGCTATGATTTTAACTCTGACCTCAGTGCTGAAGATGTTGGCTTTCTCACCAGCAGAGACCACTCAAGAATTTTATTCTTAACTTTTCCTAGCACCACAAGGAAAGCAAAAGTGCTCCTCTGAGCTCCAGAAGGAAAGTTCAGATTCTCTTTTCCCCAGGATTGTATCTGTTTTGCGCCATCCAGAAGACAGCTCTCACTGCCTGCCCAACTCTCTTTTTGCGGAAGGCACATGATTCATGGCCGTGACAAAAAAGTGACACAATACCAGATTCATAGGAATTAAACTTCAAAGAGGGACTAGATGATCCATTGTACCTGCACTAGCGCTACTTCTTCAGTTGGATCTATCTGAAAAAACTCTTTTCTCTCCCCATTAGCCATTTTTTTTGCTTTTTTTGTTTGCAAATCCTGAACTTGCATCCTTATGAATATTGTTATTTACTTTCCTTCATAACACTTTTGGTGAAGCATTCTATGAATGCCTTATGGCACAAATAGAAGAAATTTGGATATTCTGTAATTGATAACAATTTGGAGAGATAATGGTACAAATTATAGCATAGATTGAGGTCCCATGTGCCCGTGTTCATATTAGCTCTTCAATAACTGCAATCCAAATACTGGCCCTATGCCTGCATTCTTCCGTTTCTTTTTAATAAGTCAAAATGTGCTAAAATAGTCTATGTTCTAATAATTGCATATCGTCTGGAAGGGAGAAGAATCTAAGTTTCATCTTTGTCCACCACATGTACAAACATATGAAAAGAAGAATGGCAATGAGCATCCATGCATTAAGTCTGTCCACATGGCGATCATGCAGCCATGTACATATTGAAGAGTGCACTTCTATTTGCAGAATTTCTTGGATAAGGCAGGAAGGGAAAAAACAAAGTTCCAATCAATCTGTGGCACTAGATCTCTTCCCCGTGACCTCCCTCCTTCACCCACCCTTAATGTAATTTCCTTCTTGTTTGTCCTGTGAGGTGAAGGTGACCGTGTTCTTCTTTAGTATTTGGTAGAGTTCTGCTGGATATGTACATCACTAAGGCCAGTCTATTTGCAGAACACTCTGCAATAAATAGGATGGAATATCACAGATGAATTAGGGCGGCACAGTGGTTAGCACTGCTGCCTCTCAGCGCCAGGGACCCGAGTTCGATTCCAGTCTCGGGCGACTGTCTGCGTGGAGTTTGCACATTCTCCCCATGTCTGCATGGGTTTCCTCTGGGTGCTCCGGTTTCCTCCCACAGTCCAAATATGTGCAGGTTAGGTGGATTGGCCATGCTAAATTGCCCGTAGTGTTCACGGAGGTGTAGATTAGGTGGGTTATAGAGGGATGGGCCTGGATGGGATGCTCCGAGGTTCAGTGTGGACTTATTTGGCCAAAGGGCCTGTTTCCACACTGTAGGGATTCTATGATTATAATGAGCTTTGGATGAGTTGCTTACTAGAAATATCTCTGCCAAAGTTTGCTTTTCAAAGAGGGCTGGGTCACTTTTTCATGTGGTTGTGCCACATGCAGTGTTCCCAGGACTCAAAGTCAAAACTCCTAAGTGAAGCCTTTGAATTTATATGTATGGGTTTCTGACCCATGACACACTTACCAGTACACACACTTTTGAGTTCAGTATTGCTGTCAGGCTTCTAAGTTAGATTTTTATGCGTTTTATCTTCATTTCTCACTTTTTATCAGAGTGATGATAAATAACTAAGGCTACGGACAATGTTTTCATTGTAGTGGCTTGAGAAAATCAGAGGAGAGCTATTTCTTTGAGTATGCTTCCTTGGTAGTTTGAAGTGATACATCAATACCACTATTTCCATGATGCTATAATTTAAAGTTGAATCATGACAATTTTAAAAGAAAACAGAAATTGCTGGATAAACTCACTAGGTCTGGTATCACCTGTGGAGAGAAAGCAGAGTCACTGTTTCAGATCCAGTGGCCTCCTTTGTGACAGTTTATTTATCATTAATGGCATTGTTCTGTCGAAGTCGCTTCTAATAGCCAGTGTTATTTTCTACTTTAAGGCGATAATCAATTAGAAACCTTTTTATATTTGTTAATCTACAAGAACAATAGTTTGCCATACAGACTTTCCTTAATGGAAGGATTACTTATTCGTCCTTCACTTAAGTAGGAGGTTGCCTCCGAACACTTGTTTGGAGCACCCAAAACACTTGAAATCTTAGCAGATGGGCTATACTGTGGGAAAATGTGATGTTATCTTCTTTTGCAGGAAGAATAGAAGAGCTGAATAGTATTTAAATGGGGCAAGACTGCAGAAAGCTGTAGGTTAGCGTGATCTGGGTGTCCTAAATTTATATGCACTCGGAGAGGCAAGGAATGATCAGGGATAGTCAGCATGGTTTTGTGTGAGGGAAATCATGTCTGTCAAACTCGGTTGAGTTTTTTGAGGATGTAACCAAGAAGATTGAAGGCAGAATGGTAGACATTGTTTACTTGGAAAAACCGAAAGAACTGCGGATGCTGTAAATCAGGAACAAAAATAAAGTTGCTGGAAAAGCTCAGCAGATCTGGCAACATCTGTAAAGGAAAAAAGAGTTAACGTTTCGGGTTCAGTGACCCTTTATCAGAGTTAACGAGCAAGGGTCACCAGACCTGAAACGTTAACTCTGTTTTTTTTCCTTCACAGATGCTGCCAGATCTGCTGAGCTTTTCTAGCAACTTTGTTTCTGTTCCTGTGTTTGTCGTTTACTTGGACTTTAGTAAAGCCTTTGACAAGGTTCCACATGTTAGATTAATTAGTAAAGTTAGATGGGATTTGTGGTGATCTTGCCAGTTGAATGCAAATTGGCTTAACAGCAGGAGGTAGAGAGTGATGCTGAGAGTTGTCTTTCAGACTGGAGGCCTGTGACCAGCGATGTTCTACAAGGATTGGTGCTGGGTCCACTTTTGTTTGTCATTTATATAAACAATTCAGATGAGAATATAGAAGGCCTGGTTATTAATTTGTGGATGACACCAAGATTGGTGGTATAGTGGACAGTAAAGAAGATTAGAGATAACAAGGTGTAGATCTGGATGAGCACAGCAGGCCAAGCTGACGTTTCAGGTCTGGACCCTTCTTCAGAAATGGGGGAGGGGAAGGGGATTCTGAAATAAATAGGGAGAGAGGGGGAGGCAGATGGAACATGGATAGAAGAGACAGACAGGTCAAAGAGGTGGGATGGAGCCAATAAAGGTGAGTGTAGGTGGGGAGTTAGGGTGGGCATAGGTCAGTCCAGGGAGGATGGACAGGTCAAGGAGGCGGGATGAGGCTGGTAGGTAGGAGGTGGGGTGGGGCTTGAGGTGGGAGGAGTGGATCGGTGGGAGGAAGGGCAGACAGGTTAGGAAGGCGGGGACGAACTGGGCTGGTTTTGGGATGCGGTTGGGGGAGGGGAGATTTTGAAGCTTGTGAAGTCCACATTGATACCATTGGGCTGCAGGGTTCCCAAGCGAAATATGAGGTGCTGTTCCTGCAACCTTTGGGTGACGTCGTTGTGGCACTGCAGGAGGCCCAGGATGGACATGTCGTCCAAGGAGTGGGACTGGGAGGTGCAGTCATTTGTCGTGAACTGAGCATAGGTGTTCCACAAAGCGGACCCCCTCCGCTTGGTTTTAAAGAAGATTATCTAAGATTACAAAGAGATCTTGATCAATTGGGTCAATGGGCTAAAGAGTGGTAGATGGAGTTTAATTTGAATAAATGCGAGGTATTGTATTTTGTAAAATAAACTTGGGTAGCACTTCTACAACACTACCCAACAGCCTACTTTTAATTGCATAACTGAGACCTAGGGGTTCAGATACATTATTCTTTGAAGTTTGCATCACATATAGATAAGGTGGTTAAGAAGGCGTTTGGCATGCTTGCTTTCATTGCTCAGACCCTTGAGGATAAGACTTGGAACATCATGTTGAGGTTGTACAGGACATTGATATGGCCTCTTCTGGAGTTCTGTGTCCAGTTCTGGTCGCCCTGTTATAGGAAGGATGTTAAGCTGGAGAGGGTTCAGAAGAAATTTACTGGAATGTTGCTGGGAATGGAGGGTTTGAATTATAAGGAGGGGCTGGATAGGCTGGGACTTCTCTCAATGGAACATGGGAGGTTGCAGAGTGATCTTATAGAGTTTTATAAAATCATAGGTAAGGTGCATGGCAGGTGTCTTTTCCCTAGTGTGAGGAATTTCAAGACTAAGGGGACATATTTTTAAGTTGAGAGGTGAAAGATTTTAAAAAGGACGTGAGGGGCATTTTTTTATAAACACAGAGTGGTTCCTGTGTGTGGAATGAATTTCCAGAGGGAAGTGGTGGCTGTGTGTGTACAGTTAACCAAGTTAAAAGATATTTAGATGAGCATATGAATAAGAAGTGTTTGGAGGGATATAGGCCAGGAGCAGAGAGGTGAGACTAGTTTAGTTTCGGATTATGGTCACCATGAACTAATTGGACCGATTTTGTCTGTTTCGGTGCTATATGTCTCAATGACTCTAATGCATGCAGTTCAGCAGATAGGAGGGAATGCAAATGGACTTTTGGCCTTTATTTCAAAGTGAACAGTGCTTAAAAATAGGAAGGACTTGCTAAAACTATACAAAGCAGTGGTCGGATAGAATACGGTGAACAGTTTCAGTCATCTTGTCTAAGGAATAATATACTGGCGTAGAAGATTAACTGGAATGATCCATAGTATGGAAAGATTTTCTTTGGAGGAGAGTTTGAGTAAATTGAGCTTGTACTCATTGGAGTTTAGAAGAATGAAAGAAGACCACCTTGAAATGTAAGATTCTTGGGGAGGTTGACAAGGTAGATGCAGAAAGGTTATTTCTCTTTGTGGGCCAATCAAGGACGAAAGGGTATAATCTCATCTAATATGATGAGATTAAATGGAGAAGTGGAAAATGGGCTGAATGGCCAACTTCTACTCTACTTCTTACAAGTCATCATCTGATTTGGTTATTACCATTACCTCTAGTTTTGTCAGGGCCTGAGAAGCTACTTCATTTGATGTTGTTAAGGATTTCATATTCAAAGTATCCTTCAGAATCTGAGGAAATATCGTACTTTCAAATCTGACTTCAGCACTCAGCATTAATCATTCCCAACCCTATGATAGTGTGAGCAGCTTCACATGAAATGAAGTTCCATTTAGTTTTGCCCCAAAAGTAGCTTTATTAGGAAAATAATCATGCTTTGGCGATGCAAATGAGCATTTGTTTAATTATGTAGTGTAGACTAATTCTGTTTTGCACACAGTAATCATGTGATGTTTATATACAGTATTGCTCATACATACTGTCAAAAATTATGCTTTTTGTCACTTCAACAAGTCTCTTTAGAAATGTTTAAGATCACTTCCTGTAATTATATGAGAGACAGCAAACCCCTATTGCACAAAGTTTGGGTTCAAGAAACATTTGAAGTAGTGTATAATTTGATGATTAAAACAGTTTGTTTTGGCCCTTTTAGCCTGAACATTGGATTATTTGGAATGACCCATCTATAAAGAAGTAATTTTGAAATATTTTGTTTTCAGAAACAATCTTGCAGTACAAAACGTCGGCTGTTTGGAAATTTTGCTAATGGCCTCCCTAATACTATAATGGTACCAGTGTGGGAAGCTACAACAATTACAAGAAAGCAGTAAGTTTGAGTTTCTTATTCAAATTACAAAATAAAATATTCTATCATCATCATCATAGAATCCCTACAGTGTGGAAACAGGCCCTTCAGCTCAAGTCCATACCAACCCTCCAGAAAGCATCCTACCCAGACCCATCCCCCTACCCTTTCCCTGTAACCCTACATTTCTCATAGCTAACGCACCTAACCTACACATTCCTGAACACTTTGGGCAATTCAGCATGGCCAATCCACCTAGTCTGCGCATCTTTGGACTGTGGGAGGAAACCGGAGCACCCAGAGGAAACCCACACAGAGACAGGGAGAATGTGCAAACCACACATTACTGTCAATCAAGGGTGGAATCGAACCCAGGTTTCTGGCACTATGAAGCTGTGAGCCACCGTGTCACCCGCATTCTAATGCATCGTAGGTATTTTGCATTGTAGATTTTAGTATGTTGCAGATTAATAAAAGGCTTTTGCTGTATTTTTCGTAAGTGCAGCGAACCAAATGAACATTTTAGGACATTCGCAAGATCCGAATGCCCATTGATGCAGTTCTTGTTTGCAGTTCCTCTCAGTGCATTTTTGCCTTTTAATACTACCCTCCATTTGTATATTTCTTGTAAAAATATCTGTGCCATCCCCCAGTATAATTTTTGCACCTTGATTTACAGGAAGGTATTTCTTAAACAAAATGTTGGTTTAAAAGCCTTTGATGAATTTGGTGACACATTACATGGTGATTAGTTTCTCAAAGCGGGGTCCTTTAACCTACTTTGGATTCTTAGTTTACTTACTCAAGCAGCCTAATATCTGGACAGCAGAGAAGTTGAAATGAAGGTACAATGGCAGGATGAAGTGAGATTGTTAATTTTATAAATTAGCATGTAAATAAATAGTAAGGCAGGGAAATATGAAGTCAGTGAGGGTGGAGTTAATAGACGTGGGATAGGATTGTGCACAACAGTTAGAGTTCATTTTAATGTGGCTTGCTAAAATCATTAGTGGAGTCAACTCCAGAGGTCATCGAAGCATTATGCTGTTTGAGGTTGCAGTGACAGGTTTGAGAGAGATCATGGAGTGATTTGAGGGCAAGTGTGAGGATTTTAAACACTATGCATTTTGATTAAGAGGATCCATTGTAACTCCATAAGAATAGGAATTCAGGAATGATGTGGAGGGATAAGTACACTTTCTACCTGTGTCAGTATGTAGTCTTGCTGATATTAAGATATGAGATACAAAAACAGAAGTTGCTGGAAAAGCTCAGCAGGTCTGTCAGCATCTGTGAAGAAAAGAACAGATTTAATGTTTCGGGTCTGGTGACCCTTCCTCAGAACTGATGGTAGCTGGGAAAACGGCAGTTTATACTGCAGCACATAGGGAGGGGTATGGGGTAGGGAGTAAACGATAGGATAAAGGATAGAGCCTGGAGAGGGGGAGGGGGGTGGAGAGAGAGAGAGAGAGGAGCAGTTGGATAGACAAAGGAGTTGATAACGATCTCGCTTTGAGGGTGAATAGCTGTTAATGGGGACTGTTAGGGACTAACAATTGGTAGTGTGTAATGGCAGGTCTTCTGCAGGGACCGTTACCTCCAGGGCACCCTGGTCCACTCTTCCTTCACCCCCAATACCCCCCGCCACGGCGCCTTCCCCTACAACCAGTGAATGTGCAACACCTGCCCATTTACCTCCTCCATTACCACTGTCCAAGGGCCCAAACATACCTTCCAGGTGAAGTAACACCTCACCTGCACTTCCCGGAATCTAGTCTACTGCATTCGCTGCTCACAATGTGGTGTCCTCTACGTTGGGGAAACGAAGCATAGACTAAGTGACCACTTCACAGAACATCTACATTCTGCATGCAAAAAAGGCCTGGAGCTGCCCGCCACTTTAACACATCACCCTGTTCCCTGGCCAACATGTCTGTCTCTGGTTTGCTGCAGTGTTCCAATGAAGTTTAAAGCAAGCTGGAAGAACAACAGCTCATTTTCCGCTTGGGAATCCTGCAGCCCTCCGGACTCCATATTGAGTTCAATAATTTTAGGGCCTAAACTCTTCTGTGTCCTAACCCCCTTCCCCACATACGTGGTCTTGTTATCACATAGTCTGCCATTAGGCACTACCTACTCTTAGTCAATAACAGTCCCCATTAACAGCTATTCACCCTCCTAGCCAGATCGGTGCCTTTGTCTATCCATCTGCTCTTTTCTCTCTTTTCAAGCTCTATCCTTTATCCTATAATTTACCCCATCCCCTTTCCTATTTTCTACAATATAAACCGACGTTTTCCCAGCTGCCATCCGTTCTGAGGAAGAGTCACTGGACCCGAAACGTTAATCCTGACTTTTTCTTCACGGATGCTGCCAGACCTGCTGAGCTTTTCCAGCAACTTCTGTTTTTGTTGCTGATTTACAGCATCCACAGTTCTTTCAGTTTTTAAGGTATGAAGTTACTGGTTAGAATTGAGCAGAACTTGAATTTGGTTGTAAACTGGTTCAGTCTGAATGAATAGCTGGCGAGGGTAGAACTGACCCAATGATAAGTTTGGGTACATTCCTCAGCCCTAACATGATGTAAAACAAGTAATGTGATAACAAAGAACTGTGGATGCTGGAAATCAGCAGAAATTGTACAAACAGAAATTGCTGGAAAAACTGTGGAGAGAAAGCAGAGTTAACCTCTTGGGTCCAGTGACCCTTCTTCAAAACTGATTGTAGCTAAGAAAAGATTGGTATATATGCTGAAGATGGGGTGGGAAAAAGGGGAGGAGTAAATAACTGGTGGAGATGGAGCCCAGAGAGGAAGGGAAGGAGCAAGTCAGAGATTGGTTAGTTGAAGGTGAGAACAGAGTGGAAATTACAAGTGAAAATTTCCAACTCTGGACGACAGTGATATCATCTCTCATTTCTCCCTTCCCTTCTGGGGTATCTCTGTTTCCATTTCCGGGGACAGCCTGGCCATCAATATCCTCTACAAACTCACGGACTCCCACAGTTGCCTTGACTGTACACCCTGCTTTCTGTAAATACTCTATTCCATTCTCCCAGTTTCAGTCATATCTGTTCTGATCGTGCCAGCTTCTACAAAGGGGCCTCCTCCTTCCTCAACTAAGGATTCCCCACCACTGTGGTCGACAGAGCCCTCCGCTGTGTTGCCCCCATCTCCCACACTACGGCTGTCGCCCCATCTGTCCCACAACAGTGATAAGAGTCCCCTGGTCTTCACTTAACCACCCCAACGGATCCAAAGGATCATTTCACACCACTTCCACCACATGCTACCACCAGACACACATTACCCTCCACTTCCTTGTCAGCCTTACGCAGGGATCGTTCCCTCCAGGGCACCTTGGTCAACTTCTCCTCTCCTAACACCTCCCTACACCCCCACGGCACCTTCCCTCACAATTGCAAAATGCATCACCTGACTTACTCCCTCCTTCATTTTCCAAGGTACCAAACACACCTTCCAGGTGACACAATGATTGATTTACCTGCACTTCATTTAATTTAGTCTAAAGTATTCACTGCTCACAATGAGGTCCACTTGTTCAGTGGGGAGATGAAACACAGACAGGGCGATCACATAACAGAACACCCACATTCTGTCTGCAAAAATTACCGAGTCTCCTGCTGCCTGCCTCTTTAATGTACTGGCCAACATCTCTGTCTCAGGCTTACTGCAGTGGAGCTCAGTGCAGTTTGGAAGAACAGCATCTCATTTTCCGCTTGAGGACCCTGCAGCCTTCATCAGAATCAAGTTCAATAATTTTTGAGACTGAACATGTGCTTACCCCAATGCCCACACACCAGTCCTTGTCATAGAGATAACAAGGTGTAGAGCTGGATGAACACAGCAGGCCAAGCAGCATCAGAAGAGCAGGAAAGCTGACGGTTC